TTTTTTTTTTTTTTTTTTTGTCATTTCAAATAGAGGTGCCACAATAAATTCAATAATCGATTTGGTTTTCTGGTTTCTTTTCTGTTCTATGACATGAAGATCTTTGTTGTGGACAAAACAAGTGGTGTTATGGTGGGCTTTGAGACATTTTTCAACATTTTCTGACATTTAATGAGCCAAACAACTGATCAGTTGAAAGTGAAAATAATTCTTATTTTCATCCCTAATTTAAAAATAGTTTGCAGCATTATTGGCAAGTTCCTTTGTATTTGTAACACAGAGAGCAGGAGTGTGCATTTAAAAGTTTAAACAGCTGTTCTACAGCTGTACACGCACTGCCAATGTCTCACTTTATTTAAAATCTGTGATGTTTTCAAGATATTTGTGCAAATCTCACATTTGTGAAGCGATATGCAGTTTTTCGTTCATACAGTATTGTGTCACTTTTTGTCTCACTTCTGCTTGACAGTAAACTCAGTATCTTTGACTTGTGTGCAAAAAACAAGACATTTGTTGACATTTTTATTGTTACTGGCATTTTATAGAGCAATCAGATAATGCAGAAAATAATTGATATTGAAAATAATTTCATTTCAGTCCAAATTTTAAACAATTTGTAGCATAATTGGTGCATCATTTTCAGAGAACGTTCCAGTCCCTTTGTACCTGTAACAGAAAACACGAGTGTGCATTTTATTAGTTAAAAAAAGCTGCTGTACATCTGTACGTGCACTGCTAACATCTTACTTTATTAAAAATCTAAAAACAAATCATTTCTTGTCTTTGACTTTGGGAAACACTGACTGACATTTTTCACCATTTACAGACAGCAAACAAAGAACTAATCAGTGAAAAGGCAAAATAACTGATATTTTCAGCTCTACTTTCAAAGGTTTACTGCATTCGTAGTTCATCACAATGTTAAGACAGTTAGTAAAAACAAAAGTTAAAACAGCTGTTTTACATGTATATGCACTGCTAATGTCTCAGTTTGTTTAAATCTGACTCATTAGTGCAAATCTCACATCTGAAAATGACTCTTGTTGGGGGGAGTTGAGCATCTGCAAAGACAGCAGAGGTTGTGCATGAGGACGGCTCTGATGGATTGGTCTCTGAGTCCGTAGATGAGCGCGCTCAGACACCTCGGGAGGATGTTCAGGCACACGAAGCCCACGCTGTAGATCCGGGCGAGCACTAACCGCCCCTCAGTTCTGCCGATGGCCATGATAATGGTGGAAAACAGGGTGGAGGTGAGAGTCAGACTCAGCTGAATCAGGTGCAGCAGGAGCGTGTGCAGAGCCTTCCTGGCCGAGGCTTTGTCCGTGTGAACAGACCCGGCAACCAGAACCACCCCGACGTAGGAGGCCACGATGGCTGCACCCACTAACAGGAAGAGCGTACCAGCATACACATCTTCAAAATCATAAAAGATCGAGGCAAAAAAAAATGCTTCTTTACTGCAAAAGTCCTTCATGTGCACACTCGGGGAGATCGTTGTGAATACATACAAGAGCATGAAAGCTCGAATGAGGATGTGGACGAAGCTGAAGGCCCACACCAGGGCGATGGCCACGCTGGTGCTCCTCACGGTGAAGACGGCAGCATGTCTCAGTGGGTAACACACAGCCACGAACCTCTCAACGGACATCACAGCCAGTGTTAGCGGGGAGATGGTGCTTGTGGCGACTGACAGCAGAACGAGAGCGCCACAAGCATAATATGGAAGTTTTACCCGCAGAGAAGCCAGCAGGAAGAGCAGGAGGCTGGACAGCAGCTGGGCAGTGTCTGCAAAGAGCAGGTTGTAGAGGAGGATGTAACGGGACGTCTCGCAGAACAGCGGCTTGCTCCTCAGAGAGAACAGCAGCACAGAGTTAACGTAGAGGAAGGAGCAGCTCAGGCCCACCGACAGCAGGCCCAACAGCAGCAGCTCCTGCGACGTTTGATACTGCAGGAAAGTGCTGGCATTCACTGCAGGCTGCACTGAGGACAACATAGCAGAGCAAATACAACACACAAACACTCTATCAAAGAAGTTAAAAATAACCCATCATCACAAACACCTGCAGAGGCCAGAGCCAGGAATGATCCACCAGGGAAGTCAGCATCTCAGTTTCCACCGAGGCAGAGCTGCTGTGGAGACGTTTGTCCCTGCAGCGTTTGCTTTATATGCTTCGTCCTCACCCTTTCACAGGACACCGGTACACCAGCGTTACACGAGTGATGTAATCTGTCACTCATCTCATCAATGCTGTCAAATCGTCCAATCCAATGAGATGGTATCGGTTTCCTCCTGGGGGACGTCGCTGGCATTTGCAGTGCAAATGAATGTAGACAGTGACTAAAAATGAAAGTTAAGAGCGAGGGAAGACTACAGTGAACAATAACAGAAGACTAAAGTGAACAATAACAGAAGACTAAAGTGAACAATAACAGAAGACTAAAGTGAACAATAACAGAAGACTAAAGTTAACAATAACAGAAGACTAAAGTTAACAGCAACTGAAAATGGAAGGAACAGTGCTTGAAAACAAAATTTACCAGAGAATGAAGATGAAAGTGAACAGTGACCTGGGCTTG